AACACATGCGCGGAACACAGGGGCGGATCTAGCCTAGAGTTGTTTTTTTTTTAGTGGGGGCAACCGTTCGTCGCCAGCTGGCTGGTGTGGGGTCCAGTGCATGGTGCCTCTCGCGAGTACCTAGAAGGGACGCCATTCAAAACCGAAAAATGCTTTGTCCCAGACCCCGAAATGCTTTTGAATCTTAAGCAGAAGTTAAAACAAAATAGTTAAAACAGTTAAAGTTAAAACAGACGGTAAGTAGACGAAACTTTTATGAAGCTCTGGGAATGCTTTGGGGGGACCAAAACATACTCTCAGAGGTTTTGGGGGGGCCATGGCCCCGTGCCCCCCCCCCCCCAGGATCCGCCTATGGCGAAACATATTTGCACCCATGAAAACAGTGTATCTCGCATTGAGTGGTGTTTTGCCTGATTGCAGCTAAGGTACTGTAAAGATACCAAATATTTTGGGGGAATGCTGGTCATCGTACTGGTCTTTAAGGCTGTGTCAACTTTATGGCCCCAGCTTGCTCGGCTCAGGCGCCGAAGTGAGGTAGTCGGATTGTTTTGAAAAAGACGGCACTAGTCGCTCCTCGATCGATTGCAGATGTCACTTTGAGTCGAACATGGTTTCGCTGACTTGTGATTTGCAGATGATATAAGTGATTACATGGTGCAGTTCGTTTCATGTTGTTATTTGAATTGGCCGCTGGAGTCTGACATCAACATGTTTGCCACGTCAGCATAATATTTTTGGTCGCATGCAGATCGACACGCGCCCGAAAATTGATTTTGATTGGCCTGGAGGTCAACACACATGCATTGTGACTTGGTTGTGATGAATAGAAAAAACTAGACCGGCGCGCAACTTACAGGTCATTCCCCTATTCCCGATGAACTGTGCTGTGACAGATGTAAGGTTATTTATTACATAAGTAAAAACGGAATCCTTCGGTTTTTGTTATTCCATTTCTATGTCTATTTTACTTATTTGAACACATTTGTTTTTACTCGTTTTAACGTAACAACTCGCGTTGAACTAAATGTTGACCTAATTGCAAGCTCAGGCTTGCAAGGCCTATCACGGAACCCACAGCAGGTGAAAGCTGCGAGCATCGCTCTGAACATGATTGAGTCTATTGCTAACTTGACGAACCTGACATCTATCCTGAAAAACGCCCCACAACAGTCGAATATTTGGTTCGTGCACGAGGGGTACTCTCGTGCAGCTATGTCCGTCGATTCTCCCTTTTACTTACACGGTTTCTCAGCCTTTTCTGAGTGGAAATGTGTTGATCCCGTTTTCTGCGACCGCACTTACCGATCTATGAGCCATGATTCGACAAGTGTTTCGACAATTTTTGGCGATTTTGGCGAATTCCGTATTGAGCTAACGGAGCACGTTTGCACGCACTGACTACTCCGCTGGTCTGATCCGGTGCTGAATTTGATACAATTTATTGGTCACCTGTTAATCAATTACCTAGTTGGGATGTGCACTGTAGCTTTGTACGCACCGCTGATTCCAAGCGTGAACAATGCGACACATGATTCGAAGACAACTCAAGCCATAATTTGAGGCGATAGCTACTGCCCGCCCGCCCAACTACCCTAGCGCGCGGCTCGTTGACGCCCACACACGCACACACGACCCTGATTGGTTGTGACGTCATGTGGGGGCGGGACCCACGCGTTTGGTGTGCTTAATACGATGCTCGACGACATGATCTGTCTTGTGTGTACGTATTGGCATTTAAAACACTCTCCAACATAAAATGTCTATTCCGAGGGTCGACTCGATAAAGTTCAGAGGAGAGCCATGTGAAATAGCACATTTGCAGCGACAATCCCACAGGGCACACAAAAGCACGCATACAAAACACCCCAGGTACGCCCACACACGCACACGCACATCTATTCATCAAGTTCCAATTAAATGCCAGCACAGCTCTCGCCGAAAAGCCGAGAATGACAAAGTCTTGGATTGTGGATCATACGGTTCTTTTGTAGCCGGCGGCGGGCTGACGAATGAACGCGGTATTTTGCATCGAAGAGAACGGAGAGTTTTGTTGCCTCCTATAAAAACTGTTCTTTTGTCTAAAACACCGTTGTTTGTTTACTTTTCATCAAGCACTACGGCTGACCTGAACTGAAATGTGGCTGGCAAACCCGAAGAGGTGAAACCTGACAAAGAGGGCTTCCATAGGTAGCGGAGAGTTCCTCTGGCTTTGTTTCAAACCTCCAGCTTAATTAAGAGCTAGCCACTAGGCGTGCTCATCTTCCTAATTTCGCGAACAGGTGGAAGTAGATCTTACCCGGGAAAGTTTAAGAAGCAGCCAATTTAGTCATGTATTTGTTGCATCTTACGCCAAAAACAACATAATTATGTGAAAATCAGGATGCAGCGGGCAGCACACAGTCCTATTGCGGCTCCTATACCCTCATTTATTCCGTTTTATGAATGCATACGTGTGTGAAGTGCTTGCTCAGTGCTTTTAATAACACGCACTCACTAATGAAAGTCATGAAGACCTGGAAATTATCGACCGACAAAGTAAACATTTGCATGCCCTGTCGGGAGCCAGCACCGATGTGATCCGGCCCAGCTCAGTTCCGTTCAGTTCAGTTCATTGCGGCTACATTCTGGAATACTTTCAGGCTTTTCATGGACCAAGTCGAGATAAAAAAAACAAACACAAACAGTAGGCAAGGGAAAGCAAACTCACAATTCTCACAACTCAAACAACTAACAGTCCACAAACAGGCGCAGGAACGTACACTCAGCTCAGCTGGTCGCCTCGGAGAAGGCAGTGTATCACATCTGCTTTGCAGCGCAACACGCGCGGCACGTGGTGTTTTGCATGGCGGTCGGCAGGCGGTGAAACAACTTCGCAGCACCGTGGCTGAGCTTACGCTTCCCCGCGTTCGTCCTGGCTCGCGCTTCGCAGCCTCGTGGCTGAGCTTACGCTTCCCCGCGTTCGTCCTGGCTCGCGCTTCGCAGCCCCGTGGCTGAGCTTACGCTTCCCCGCGTTCGTCCTGGCTCGCGCTTCGCAGCCTCGTGGCTGAGCTTACGCTTCCCCGCGTTCGTCCTGGCTCGCGTCACTTTAAGTTGTCCCGTCTGTCGAGCGCTGTAGCTGCTGTGGACGGTCTGGAATAATCCTTACAAGTCTGTCGGTTGTCCTGTGTGGAGTATAAATTTGGGAACAGCTAAGTAGTGATATTTTGGGAAGTCTTGAGCCGACAAAATACCTAAGCGTGGTGCTTCCTCCCAAATTCTACCGTACTTCTTTTTCCCGAAATGACACGGTTACAAAAATTGACCAGTTTTTGTACTCGGTGAAGTTGTGTGGTACCGCATGTTCCTTAAATGGATATGCAGTGACGAACTGAAGACACCACGAGTCCCCCCACCACTTGCCGCAGAACGCAGCGCGGAACGAGGTGGCTGGCGTGGATGGGGCCAATGCGTGTACCAGTGCACTTAGCTATCAGCTGGTCAGTGTGTGGTTGAAAAGTGGGCTTTCCGTCAATTGTGAGACCCAGATTCTTGACAGCTCTGGTTTCAGTTACCATCGATGTTCCAATTTATATCGTATTTTTTGGAATATCACGAGGCATATATTTTGTTCAAAGCAACAGAAGTTGAGTTTTTGCCGCACCAATTTTCATTTTATTCTGGTCAAACCAGTTAACAAGTTCTGTGGGAGCAGCTTGTAAACGAATAATAATATATGCGAGCTGCTCTTTACGGCCACTACCGAGCAGCTGGGTATCGTCGGCAAACTGGACCACTGTAGAGCTGCCGGTATACAGGCTCATTTCGTTCGAGAATGCAGAAAACATTAAACAGGCTTCCACCCTTAGACTCCGGTTGTGTTTGGCTGTGGCTCTGAGAGGGTTTCACTTCCGTCCCTCCGAACTATTCTGACCTGTTGAGCGTATTCTGACCCCTTATCTAGCCAATGGGTGTCTACGCCTTACATATTTAGTTTGCTGAGTAATTTTCCGTGATCGATCACGTCAGAAAATTTGGAACGATCAACGAAAACTAACAGAGCAATGTCACCAGAGTCCATCGCACGATACACACGGTCAGTCACTACAGCAGGGACAGTCTCAGTCGAATGATGACGTCTGTATCCGTGCTGGGACGAAAACAAATGATTCTACTTGAAATAAACGCTTATTTAGCGGTGCACGAGTCATTCAACTATTTTAGTCACAGCGGGCAGTATGGAAATGCCAGCCAGCTCGACACACTGGCTAAATTCCCCTCATTTCGGTATTGGCGTTACGAGTGCATGCTTCCAAATCGCTGGCCCCGCTCCTGAGTATAGCGCCAGATCCCAGGCCGTATAAAGACGCACGCCTGACGATAGCAGCATTTTGATCGCCGATTAGTGCGGTATACAAACACTCAAGCGAAACGACAACAACTGGGGCAGCCGGCAACTCTCTTATAAAGCAAATCCCCCGTCAACGAAGCTTCGTCGGCAGCTGTAATCAGCCAGCCGGCGCCAGACGTCAATCTCCTCCGTTGTCTCAGAAGATGGCTGGTCCGCGGCTCGACCTCCGACACCACCGTCACGTGACCGCTGCAGACGCAGCACGTGCTACCGGACGGGCCCACACTCTGGACTGGACCCGCCCTAACGGGACCCGCACTAACGGGAGCCGCCCTGACGGGAGCCACGGAACCCACCCTGATAGGACCCGCCCTGAGGGGACACCCTGACCGGACCCGTCCTGAGGGGACCACCTTAATAGGACCCGCCCTGACGGCAGCCGGCAACAGCCAGACATGGGCAGCTTCCGGTGCGGCGGCGGCGGCCCGTGTGAGGCTGATCTGGGCCCGCACGCGGCCGTGTGAGGCTGATCTGGGCCCGCACGCGGCCCGTGTGAGGCTGATCTGGGCCCGCACGCGGCCGTGATAAGATACCTGCGGCGGCGGCGGCGGCGGCGCGAGTGAGGTGTAGTGCGTGCGGAAGCCGACGTCGACATCAGTCGCGCTCGCGCACGCGCCCAGCAAGGCAGCCGCCTCCCGTCCGCCGTCGGCAGCGGCCGCGAGTTATGGTGCAGCGTGCCCCACCACGCCGAGCGCTTCGCATGGCGCTGCTAGCCGCCTCCCTGCTGCTGGTGACCGCGCTGGCTGGCGTGCACGGCGGAGAGTACTGCGACGACTTCGAAAACGGCGATTTTGGTCAGTTCTGGCAACAGAGCGCTCTAGATTATGGAGGCCAGTGGAAAGCCGTCAGCTACCAGGAGTTGAAAAAGAACATAACAGATTTTCCAGAGCCAGCAGGCGGAGATACCGTCGTCTATCTGACACGCAAGCCTGGCAGTTCATCTACCAGCGCTAGATTGCAGACCAAATCATCGTTCGATTTCTCAAGCGGTGGTAACATGTCCTTCCGCTACTGGTTACGTTCTAAATGGCAAGGATCAGGAACTTTTGAAGTGAGACGGATTGTTGGCTCAAAAGAAGATCCGCACGCGATTATGTCTCTGACATCGACGTCCGGGCCCACCAACAAAGACTGGGAGGAAGCCAGCACGGAGATTCCTGCCGATTCCCAGGACTTTAAGGTGAGCTTCCCACGTTGCGTTCTTTATTGGATTTCCGCTGCAAACGCCTAGCTAGCTCAGAATAGCCTATTTATTCCACACTGCCTTCCGAAGTTCTAAAGGAGATAGACCCATTCCAGACACCATATTTTCAGGTTAGGGGGGTGTAGTGAGAAGTGATATGCTTACGTATATTGAAGTTAACTCCAGGACTGATGTGCTCCATTGCAGACGAACCGTAAAAGTTGGACACCGGCCTGTGTCCGGCTGCATTTTAAGGCAGCGCATGAGGAAGTGTCAGGGGGTAATCCACTTCTGAAGGTGTAGCTCGGTGAGATTCGCAACTCGCGAGTTCCCTTTTGTGAAGTTATGTTATGTGAGCATCTTCGAGAGCGTAAACTGAGCAAAGCAATACTTGAAGGCATCATATGATGATCCGCTTAATCGGTTAAATAATCCCAGTTGTCGGAACAGAAGTGCAACATTTCCTTTTTTGAGTCACGTTTTTGTGTCCGGATGGCACATTATTTGCACTGCTGAGATGGCCACTAGCCGTCAAACAGTGACTGGTTGGACCTCTCGGAACTGGACATTCGGCATTTGACTATGGAAATTTGGAACTATAAACGTAGTGTGATGTCTGTAAACCGGTCTCTGGCAATATGTAATGTACCGTACCGAAATTTTGCTTGAATTTCCGTGATTGCCCATGTAGCACGTATCGAATCGTTCAGAGTGTTAAAAAGATTGGCTTGTGTTAAAAATGCTCTCTAATAACCTTTTTACGTCAGCACTTTGAGACAGAGGCCTAATTTGGTATCAGATACGGAATGCGCGTCGACCAGCATACGCAGGGGAAAAACCAAAGGAACACCTCCACGTCCACCGCAATAGCTCGACTTTACTCCGTGAGCGTGCTTATGTCATCGCGTACTTATGCGTCATGTCTGTTTTCTATGCTTTATTTTTCAGTGCCGTGGGACCACACTTGAAAACGTGATTTGTCAAGAAGGTACCTTATGACAAACCAAAAGTGTTAACGGTCAAATTTATGGTCTATTTTGAAAGGCCTTACGAAAATACGATGGGTCTCACACCTGCTTATCTTAGTTTTCTTGTATTTCGAGTTTGTTTCAAGATTATGAACCTGTCTGATAATCCTCAAATGAAAAGAGCTATTGTTTCTGAAGATCGCTCAGATTTTGGCTTGCAATGAGCTCTGGTAGCAATCGCCACTGTGAGTACGTATCCCGAGGTGCCTAAGAACATTTTGCGTTTATGCGACGGCAGCTGCTTAAGTTTCCGCAGTTCACCTAAGCAACGACAAAAGGCCTCATCAACGGCGATGGCACAGCCCGGTGATAGGCGCCGACAGAGCAGTAGTTAGGCCGTGCGTTTGAGAAACCAGAGGTTGAAACCAGAAAATTAGGGAACCAGGGGACTCAGAGATACCAGGGAACCTTCCTGACAGGGTGAGAGACAGGTGACGACTTTTGGTTTCGGCTAATGAACGGGCCGCAAAGCACTAATGACACATACCTCACTAGCATACTTTCAACACTGTTGATAACCAGAGCACCACTCTGTTCCTGTTTTGCAGACACTTATGCCATTGCAAATACAACGCATTTTTCCTGATCGTTGCGTGCAGGACACGACAAATCACACCTGACAAATACGTAGCATTGTTAACCGCAAAATGGAACCAGACTATTTTCACATGCTGGGAGACCCATCCTTATCCAAATAAACGCCTCTCTTTCATGTGATCATTTTATCTTCCTCAGGAGCGTCACTTTACATACCTTCGGAGGGGCCTGAGCCCTTCCCCCATTGCTGCCTTGAGCCCCCCCCCCCCCTCCCCCCAATGCTTCTCTGGGCCCCTAAATGCATGTGAGCAAGGAGAGAATACTGAGCCAAATGCATACATAACAATTCAGTTTAACTATGCACATAGTAGATCGCAAGCAGCTTAATGCGTCACCTTTAATATCATATCAGTTTTGTACCAAATAACATCCTGTGGGTGCCTAATGTGCTTGCCATTCTCAAGGCCCTGAAACAAGTGATCCTAACTCTTTCATATCTCAAGCATGCTTCCCAAAATTTGTTATTTTTTCAAATGATAACACTCGGATTGGGATAAAGAACAATTGGCTACAGTCTGCGGAAGATTTTAAAAGTACGAGATGACCAGATAAAACTTAATGCATGTTTTCCCCAATAGTGGCGAGTGTTTCTGTCGCACAATCGTGGCTGTTGTGCTTGTACAGCGCGATCAGAGACGGCGGTAGCCATGAGTGACCTCATACCAAGAGTTACTGCGATGTTTTCTGCGAAGGCAGCTCACATGAACTCGAATGTGGGAAGTCGTTCCGCACAGAAGAACAAATTTGAATCTACAAAATATTAGAAAGCTGTTTCATTTTAACATCGAGCAATCAAATTCGCATGACTGAGATCCGAGGAGAAATCAGGTTTTGGGGTAGGTTAGACCAACCTTTTTGACAGAGCTTCTCAACTGTTTTTATAAAGTGGCACCCCTGATATACATAATGGGTTGCTAGATGTTATGCGACAAACCAAAGGTCCCATGTTGTCACCCCTGACTGCAGTACGTGTCCGGGAAGTCCGGGCCATGGCGCGACTCAGAAGGGGCTATGACATAATATGACAGAGTACGTAGCTTTGCAATGGTTGCACAGTTTGCGACAATAAAACTTCACAGTGCCGTTTTTCTGCGTTGCACTGTCTTGTGCGACATCTGCACTTGCAAAATGGACGCCAAATGCGTGGGGTGCATGCACATCTTGATTGACTCACGCGGAATAAACCCAGTGCTAATTTGCTTTTCACCGAGTCATACACCTCCAGACGCCCTGGCAACGTAGCCTCTCACAAGTCTCCTAGACTACAACTCGCAAACCGTTGGGGTGGTTTAGTAACATTTTAGAAACGGATCCTACGTATGCGACCATCCCATGCACGACTTGTTGTCCAAAGGTGGAAGACGATCAACGGCGGTTGACCTCTTGTGGAACGTGCAGCCCGTCTGATGAAAAGGTGCGACGTATCGTCTCAGAATACCTACGTCTGTCTGGTGCTGTACCAATCTGACGAAAAATGTGGAGGACGGATCAGATCAACCTCTGAAATATTCGTTCAAGAAGACTCATCGGTTTTGCCAGCGAGGAATCTGTTTTCCACTCAACGAAATTGCTTGTTTAGCAGCCGTCCTAATGGCCTCTGATTCAAAGGTGATGCATGCCTGTCTGGTACATGTTCGTGCGGACACATCCGCGTGGAAATTTTTGTTAATATATTCCTGTAATCTTACAGATTCTCATATTCGGCGCCTGCGGAAGCGAGGAGCTAGACAACATCGCCGTTGATGACATCACGCTCTGTGGGCCCGACAACCTACCTGATCAGAAGTGCCATCTGCTTACAACAACAGAGATGACCAGCACGTCCCAACCGACAACCACAGTGCAGCCGACGACAACCGAAGCAACCACTACGGCTGAGCCCACCACTACAACAGAGCCCACGACTACAACGGAACCGACGACTACAACAGAGCCAACCACTACAACAGAGCCAACGACTACAACGGAACCAACGACTGCAACAGAGCCCGCCACTACAACAGAGCCCACCACTACAACAGAGCCAACGACTACAACAGAACCAACGACTACAACAGAGCCAACAAGTACTACAAACCCGACAACTACAACGGAGCTGACGACTACTACGGAGCCAACGACTACAACACAACAAACGACTTCTGGGAAAACGACTACAACAGAATTAACGACTACAGCAAAACAAACGACCACAACAGAACTAACCACAACCGAATCAACCACTACGACAGAGTTAGCGACTACAACTGAACCAACGACCACAGCAGAGCCCACAACAACCGAACGGACAACTACAACAACGCCGACCACAACGGATTCAACGACTACAACTCAGCCAAAAACTACGACAGCCCCACAAACCACAACCAAGCCGGCTACTACCACCGCACCAACGACCACTACTGAACCAACGTCTACTACTGAACCGGCGACCGCTACTGAGCCCGCGACTACAACCGCACTTGTGACGACACCTCCGACGTCGATGGACCCGTCAACGTCGCTCGACCCAAGCACTTCCTCTCAGCCAGCGTCAGCATCTACACCTGCGCCTACAAATCAACCGAAGCCCACCGGAGCTACCGAGCAGCCGAGGGGCGGCGGGGGCCTGCAGCTGGGCCCAGGCGCCCTCCTCTGGGTGGTGTTCGTGGTGCTGGGCACCTCGCTGCTGCTGCTGCTGCTGCTGGCGCTGGGCAGACGCCGCACACGCGGCCGGCGCAGCGACCAGCTGCAGCTGGTGCACTCGACCAGCAGCGGCTCGGACCAGCTAAGCAGCGGCGGCTGGTACGACTACCTGGTCAGCGACCCGTGGCGGCGCGTGCAGGACCGCTGGCGTCAGCTGCGCGCTTAGTGCCGGCGGGTCTTGGAGCCGTCGGCAGCGGGCCGACAACGCAAGACCGGTCCCCCGCCGCGCTCCATCGGCCGTGCAGGGAGCCAGGCAGGTCACCAGACAGCGCCGGCCTTCCGCAGTGGTCAAAGACGGCGGTGTAAACGCCCACACCGTGCTGAGGGCGTGGGCTGTGAGTGTGTGACACAACACTGGGCATGCTTGGCATGGCTATGGGCGGTAGCCACGGCCATGGGACACGCTGCTGGCCGGAGGCGCCAGCGGCTGTGAACCTAGTGTAGTGCTGTGCATGACACAGTGGGACCGCCCACCGGCAGCCTACTTGCAATGCAACCTGAATGGTCCGCGAGCTAATGAGGCGGATGTCCAGCAGCTGTCAGTCAAAGCATGGATCAAGGCTGGTCTTCGTTCATTTTACTGACGTCGCTGTTAAATACTGTCAGAGTTACAAATACTGTACAAGGCATGGCAGAGACAGCCGGCGGCAATATTCGCGATCGGTAGTCAGCTGGCTAGCAGCACTGCGAGCACGTCTCCTGTCCCACGTGTTCCACAGATTAGTGTGCAAGGCTTGCATGTAGGCAAAAGGCGTCATATGAACTGCTATTGAAACATCACTGCTGGCTTGGTCACGTGACAATGAATCAACCTCGCATCTAGGCGCCAATGTGGGCGCGCAAGCGCCTGATATATGTAGACGGCTTAAGGCTTGCGAATCCCTGCGCGTGTTTCGCTTCATCAGCAGCAAGGGCCTCCTACCGCACACCGGTGGCGACAAGGCAATCTTGTTGTCCGACTATAGCCCATTTGTTGCCATTGGCGAATCTCACGTCAGCGATACCTGACTGTTATGGCCGTTACCTGACTGTTATGGCCGCACGCCGGACAGCGGACGTGTGTTTATGCAATGGGTGAAATAGACCCTGCTTGATTATGCCAGACGTATATGTGTATATATATATATATATATATATATATATATATATATATATATATATAATGAGGTCGATTGGTCGAAAGGAGGGCATGAATGCATTCTTCTTCCGGTAGGCATAGTGAACGTTAAAGAAGCAGCTCCTGGATGCTCAGCAAATGACGATTGCAATTATTTTTGCAACCCCACGGTGTAACCCTGATCAGTAACCGTATGTCATTCCTGCCGGTAGACTGGTCTACGGAGCGTCCAGGAGCCATTGGAGCGACATCCAATGTCAACTTTTTCCGATCACTGAACGCTGTTTTGTACATTGTGTGTGGGTAAGTTTGTTTTTGTACCTGACTGTTTCCTATATTTCTGGATCGTCGACGTCGGCCCATGCAGGCTGTTAGCAAAATTCAAGACTTTTTCATCGAAACGCAATCGCACTGATTCTAAATACAACGCTAAACACAGGCGCGTTGCGTTTGAAGGGCGCCCCATGGTCACAACGGCGAGCATGGCGGGCACACATGTGTGCAACTCCCGACGCTTTTTAGGGGGGTTTGAGCCTCTGTGTTTATGAGCTCCAGCCCAGGACCACGGGATCTGACCAGATGAAATGGACGAAGTGCCTTAGAGTGCACCCACCCATTGATTCCACAAGATTATCTGCTCGCGCACTGAGTACCTGCACCGCTGCGGAATGTCGCTGCCGAATAGAGATGGCAGAACGGTAAAGGGTGTTAAGCACCATCTTCAGGTGCAGGAAGTAACCCAAGCTGCAGCACCCTGCCAGCCTCTCGGCAATATTAAAGTATTGCATTCCTTATGATTGTTTATGCATTGGACGCATGATTGCATTGCATTGAATGCAAAGCGTATGTGTCATTAGCAGTCTATGCAATAATCTGCATGCTCCTAAATGCATTTTTGCTTGCGTGAAAGCCGAATTTAGTTGCACAACATACTTTCTTTTGGTTAGGATAAGTGCAGAAATACCAGGGTCGACGACGTGAGCGTAACTGTCTCCGGGAAACTGCATCCAAGCAGCGAGCAAGATTAGACCCACGTGAACTAATAATCGACGTGAACTAAATAGACATGACGTGAACCAATCCGTCGGTCGCCTCCCCTGGCCCGTGCACTGCAGCGGACGACGCACTATTTGCACAGCTCCGCCGCTGACCGTCGCCCTCGGGCGTCCCCTCCCCTCCCGCACACCCTGCCGGAGTGACCTCTGCACTGTGGTACGCTGTTTGTCCACCTCTCAGCGGGGGTCGTCCTCCCGAGCCCTGTGACGGCCGGCCCCTCCGGCTCCCGGCACTCCGCACTGCTAGCGGACCGAGACCGCATCAGTCCGCTGCAGCCTGGAACGCACCGCATCACAGGCTCCTGCACTGATAGCGGACCGTGACCGCATCAGTCCGCTGCAGCCTGGAACGCACCGCATCACAGGCTCCTGCACTGATAGCGGACCGAGACCGCACCAGTACGCTGCAGCCTGGAACGCACCGCATCACAGGCTCCTGCACTGATAGCGGACCGTGACCGCATCAGTCCGCTGCAGCCTGGAACGCACCGCATCACAGGCTCTTCCGGTCCCCGATGCCCCCTACGCCTCGTTGTTGACCTTCAGTACTTCCGAAGGCGCGTCCCGGTCCCCGGTGCGTTCCGATGGTCGCAGATGCCGCGGTGTGGTCTCGTGCACAGGGAGCAGGACATGGCCAGCGAGACGTCGGTATATGCTTCAGTGTGGTATTCGGTAACTCACCATTAGCTGACCGTATCAAGTGGCCGTGGCAGTGGAGGTGATTCTGCACTGAAAATGTCCCTGATAGTAAGGGGATCATTGAGCACTTGTAAATCTGGGCTTCACATCTAAGCGTTATTTTTTTAAGAGCGGTTATTTGGAAGTGACATTATTATTTACTGTGCCCGAGTGATATATGGTTCACCCTACAAAATAAGCATATCCATCAAAGAGGCTGGTTCTCTGCGCACCAGAAGGTCTCTTCCTCTTTATCAACTTTCTTTTCAGTCGGTAGTCACTTTGCTAACTCCACGGCCACTTAAACTATTGGACAAATTCGGGGACTTGGAAAAGCGGGTACAACCTCTTAGCTATTGAATCTATGAACACCACGTGGCTGCGGGTTTCGCGTTTGATCATGATCCCAGCCAAACAATAATAAAATGGTAGCCGATGTATTGAAGCATTAGATTATCAGCCGCCTTCAAACCCACGCAAGTTCCCGAAAATGTGACGGCCATGCCGTCCACGCGATAAGCCTTGTCCAGCAGTGAAGATGTGACGATATGAGGTGTGAAACATTTAGATGCGATCTGATGCACCAAAGAGATGACATGCCTATTGGCCCCAAGTCAAGGTCTGATAATGATTCGGTGTACTTCGAATCGCATGTTTGAGCCCGGATTACAATGTAAGCCACGCCCACGTCAGTGTGACGGCTGTTCTTAGTTTCCTGCTTTATCAGCCTCTCGTACAGGTGCTCATCTTCGACCTGTCAAACGACGTGATCTTGCAAGTTTGCCACTCCCCTGCAGCGCGGACCGATCTCTTATCGATGTACGGGAACGGGATAAACACTCCTGCCCGCCGCATCCGATGGAAGCTTCGGGAAAAGCCGACTGATTACTAATTCGCTTCACTCACCTATGGCCTATGGGTGACTTGAAATGGATTCTTGGCGTCTCATGACCTGGATCTTCTTGTTTACTAGCTGAGGGGGGGGGGAGAGAAGCACACAAATGATGCGCAATTGCACATAACTGTTGTTTAACACTCACAACTGTTAACTTCAGATCACTGAGATTTCATGAAAGTCAATGAATGCGGAAAATAGCAAAATACGGGAAGCAGAACGTTCACATAGTCGCCAGTCGTGTCTGTCGTATTATTGCAGGTGGATTACTCAAACAGCCACCTTTCCGGCGAAAATGAACTCGCAATTGTTTCAGCGAATAATTAGCTGGAATCGAATAAAGATAAGGTATATGCGCGCACACCTAGTTATCAAAACCATGGATTAAGGCAAATGAAAACCAATCTCACCATTATTATGATTCATTTCTGCAATGGATTAAGTCACAATATATTCGAGTATTACCAGCAAAGCTCATCTCCTACATCGGAGTGCAGTTCGCAAATCACGCTCCGAGTAACATATCATTATGATTGTCGAATCCAAGGCGTCGAATCCACCAAGTGTGAGACGATATCAGCTTAGGGTAGCCATGATGCGGCGTTCGGGCTCAAATTTGAAATAGATCCCATGCAATGTGAGACAGAGAAGTGCTTGATTTGGGTAAACTAGAATCGAGATCGTTTCTGACGCATATTTACCCTCAGCTGACCCCATTCACGAGCTGTTTCCCAATTAAATCACTTGTTGGCGAGGGCCATTTACACCTTTTGCAAAGCCTGCAGATGGTGGTGTGGAGATACCGGCGTGCCTGAGCCAGTGCCTTAGCACCCGTCCACTGCTCTGCCAGGCGGGCCACCCCTCACTTCGGACTTCCGTTGCCGCCTGACGCGTGCACTGTGCCGCACGGCAGACAAGCCCGACACCTCGAATGGCCTCGGTCACCCCAGCCACTGCCGGCTCGCACGAATATCATAAAGATTTCGACACCGTCAGATTAACGGGGCTCCAGCTTTTACGGTCACATCCTCTGAGACTCAGGTGCATATCGTCGCCAACTTTGCCACGTACCACTATCAACATCCTGTTCCATGTGTTACGTAAGGTCGCTCAAGTTCGAGTGCTCCTGTTTGGTACAAAGAAGCGTGCATACCTACCCGATGGACGTAATCTCACAATGGAAAACAATGAAACAGCTTCAGACTACTGTGAGTTGTCCTGCGTCGCCGATGAATTACGGACGTTGTACGCAAAACGAGCTGTTTTCACTTTTTGCCGCTGATGCGGAATCTAAAGCAGCCTTGAAAAGACAAGATTCAGTTTCTGCACTTCACTTCCGCCGGATGGGCGGAATGCCGCGTTATCCGCCGGATGGGCCACTTCAGTCGGCGCTGATCAAAGGGCGGCGGAGTCGTTTGATCGGCCAGCCGACCTTTGGTGCTGCCCCCCCCCCCCCCCCTCTCCGCCCCCGGCTGATGCCGGTCCTCACCACCGGGCAATGGTCGATGTGGGTGGCGGGAATGGCACACGGTTACTATCCAATGCGGCGCGCGTGCGTGTCTATCTTCGCGTCAGGACTGGCTTCTCTATGTGGCTGGAAACCCCGATTGGTACGCACATGGGATTGAAGCTGGGGTTAACGCAAGGACGTTTCCACTCCCGGCTTTTGCGGGCTCGAGCCCAGCGTTTACGGGCCATGCCAGAACGCCTCAAATCAGCCGTATTCTCCGGCAATGTAGTGGTCAGCGTGTGCTCCAAAACGTATTCTTCGATGCTTCGGTCGCCCGCGGGGCATGCGCTGTTGATTTTGGACGACTCCTTGGATCACCATAACCTTGCAATATTTGTGCAACATGTGACTAGCGCGACCTGTCTGCTTGCTTTTAGAAATTGTATGATAGTACCTGTGGCATGTGACGTTTTCTGGGTTCCTTGGAAAATTTTATGGAAGCTTATACCACAATAGCTATATATTCTAATGAGCGGCCGGGCTGCATGAACCTTTTGAAAGGCTCACCTTCGACGGGTGACCCCCGACTGCGAGATAACGCCGCCCACCGTGCTGCAGGACCGCTGTGAGTCACGCGGGTGCCGCGTCGTCAAATTACACCACACATTAAAACATTGGAATAGATCTTCTGGTTAAGTGCTTGAAATTAGCAGCGAGATATCCTAGCAAGAACTATGGTCCTGATTTAACTGGCAGCTTGAGACAATTCATGCTTGAAAGCATCCAAGCCAGAAAACTACGTGGTGAACCAAAAATGGCAGGCGATAAGCACAGGTGTATCAAATATGCTCAAAGCAATGCAGATGTGCAAAGGTACAGCTACTGGGACATTATGCTATCTG